GCGCTTTCGTGCAACGCCGGACCTAAAGGAGGGGCACGCAACTACACACACAGATCCCAAGTTCCCCCCCGTGTGGTTCCCGTACGTTTCTTCGGGTGGCAGCCTCCCCCCCCCATCCCGCCACCAGACTTCCCAGATGCTCCTGCATGCTCCCGGAAATCGACGGTGATTTGAACACGTGGCGGATTGCGGATACAGTCGGGGCGTTGACCGAAGGAAGCCTAAATAAGGAACGAGGCCCCTCTTCTCCACAAGTTGAACTTCGATTTCCTGCCGACCTCCGCCCGCGGAGGCGGCCTCGTCTGACGTCGGCCAAGCTTCCGCCGCCGTCCGCCGAGGAGAGGGCGACGCCTTGCAACCTCGAAGGCGGGGCCTTTTCTGGAACACTCCATGTGCGAACGAACGAACCACACACACCCATACCCATAGGGGGGGTCCTTGCGAGGAGGACTGGCTATGGGTATGGGTGCGGGTTGTCTGACCCTGGGGAAGCTCCCGCTCGAGCGGGGACCCCCATCCGACAACACGCACCCATAGCCCTCTCCGACCCCCCTATGGGTATGGGTGTGTGTTGTCGGTTCGTCAATGTGTGTGCGTGGTTTTTCCCTCTCCCGACGAACATGGGGCCCTGGGGGATGGAGGCCCCCTGCGGGGACGGGAGGCCTCGACCAGCAGACGTTCAACCCACGGTGCCTCCTGCGACCCTCCTCCCCTTCTCCCCCTCCCCTTCCCCCTCTCCTCCTCCTCTTTCTCCTCCTTCACCTCCTCCTCCTCCTCCTCCTTCTCCTCCTCCTCCTCCTCCTCCTGCTCCTCCTCCTCCTCTCCCCTGCTCTTGCTTCATTCTTATTCCTCCTCCTCCTCCGCCTCTTCCTTCTTCCTCCTCTTCTTTCATCGTTCCAATAAAGCTTGGAGTCAAACAGAAACACGAGGCCTGTCTGCTCAGATCATCCCTTCAGGGCCCATCCCCCAAGGCCGCAACAAAAAGGCCACGTGTCTGAAGCGCCGACGTGGATGCCGCCGTCGCGGGACGCCGCCGCGCGACGCCCGGGGGCCTGGCTTGAGATCTGGGCGTCGCTGAGGGGATAGGGGGGCTATCTTGAAGGGAATAAATACACACAAATAAAAGGACCCCCCATATTTTCCTATATTTTCTGGGTTTTTGTCTTCCCCCCCTTCCCATATTTTCCAATATTTTTTGGAGAGTCGACGATTAATTGTGTCTGTGTGTGTTTTTTCCCTCCTGATATCTGTGGACGCCACACGGACTGCACCTGGCCTAACCTGAACTTTGAGTGGGCTGCACATGCCCCCCAAAGGCGTAGGGGGGGACTAGACAACCCCGCTAAGTGGCTCAGGGGGATGAGAAAACTCCGCTGAGCGGGCGGAGCCCACTTAGCCTGGATCGCTCTTCCCCCCTAAACCACTTGGGTCATTAACAGATCTACTACACCGCTAGGTTAGGCCAGGTATGACCCCTCTGGCGCGTCCACTGATTTCCCCCCTATCCCCTTCTATAGCACCCCCCGCGCCCATCCCAGTACGGCATCCCCAGCCGTGGCCCCAGCCGTGGGGTCCCTGGAGGGGGGCAGCAGAGCCCAGAATCGAATCGAGAAGCAGGCTCGGCGATCGAAATGAATCGGATCGGCAGAGATCGGCAGCCAAGTCGGAAGGAGTCGAATCGGCATGAATCGGCATGCCAGCAGGCCTCCATGAAGGCCAGCAGGCCTCCATGGAGGAATCGGCATCCACGTCGGAGTCCGAAGCCGAATCGAATCGGGATCGGGGGAGGTCCGGCCTTCGAAAAGGTCGGCGGCACCCCGGCTGTAAGGAGTGCACAAGATCGGCGGCACTTTTGGTGGGAGCCGCTGCTGTTGTGCCTCCTGTCGAGCGCGTTCCACTACTCGCAAAACAACGGCTCGCAACTGGCCTGGATCCGCCGTTGGGGGATCTGCGGGAAACTGCATCGAAGCAGACATGTGCTTTTCTTCGGACGTTTGCGAGTAGGCACTCTGCGAGTAGCGCAACGCGCTCGGTGAATGCCCTCCGCCTCCGCGAGGGTCGTCTCCTGGCCCCGGGGCCGTCACGCAACGCATATGTCGGGCCTGCCCCCCTACAGGGGGATTTTCGACGAAAAATAAAACATACCTCCCAAACACTCACAAAATAATGCAAAACAAATCTGGGGACTTGTGTATTTTGGCTTTTTTGCTTTTTTGCTTTTTGGTTATCTGGGACTTGTGTATTTTGAATATGTATTGGCTTTTTTGGTGCATTTTTTCTGTATTTTTCATTTTTCGTCGAAGCTCCCCCTGTAGGGGGACAGGCCCGACGCAACGCAACGGGGCTCGGGGAGAGGAGCCCGTGCCGGGGAGGGTTAGATGCTCATTCTGGGGACCTTCCTGGAGCCACTCGCTCCACTCGTGCGTCGAAGCTGCGTCGAACCTGAGTCGAACCTGAGTCGAACCTGAGTCGAACCTGAGTCGAATCTGAGTCGAATCTGTGTCGAACATGAGTCGAACTTGAGTCGAACCTGAGTCGAACAGATCCATTAGTTGGCCCCCAGGAAGGTCCCCAAAACGAGCATCGAAGGGGGGGGGGGGGTCGAGCTCCCCGGAAGGGGCCGCCGTCGGGGCAGGGCCGGCGCCCTCGGAGGAGGGGGCCGCGCGAAGCCGGCTCCGGTCTTCCCCCCCCAATGCATGCCCCTCGCCGCTGAAGACGAGGAGGAGGAGGAGGAGGAGGAGGAGGAGGAGGAGGAGACGGGAGAGGAGGAGGAGGAGGAGGAGGAGGGGGGGAGGAGGAAGACAAGGAGGACGCGTTCAAGATCTGCGCAAGCTCAGACAGGCTGGTGGGCTGGAGCGGGTCAAAAGCTCATTCTCCTGTGCTGCGCTGCTGCGCAGGCACTTTGGAGGGACTCGCCGCAGGCAGCTGGCAGAGGGAGAGAGAGAGAGAGAGAGGAGGCAATGCGGCGGGCAGGAAGCCTGGTGAGCCGACTGGAAGGATAGAGTGCGCACGTAAATACCTGCGCTGGCCGCTGCTCCCTACACTCCCGTCTTATCGCGCGACATCTTCTGTGTGTGCTGGTTCTGACGCGTTGGTCCCGTGTGAGTCAAGCACACGGTTTCGCAACGTGTCGCTACAGTCTGGTGTGTCGAGCGTGCCGGTGGAGCAGAGACGCTGAGCTGAAGTCAAGAGAGACACTCTGCACCGCTTGGTATGTTTGAGCACTTCCACTTCTGTGTTAAAACAAGACTAGGATCGGGATAAATCGCTCCAGAACGTTCCGGAGCGCTCTCAGAGCGTTCCTGAACGCTCTGGAGCGGCCCGGCGCCCAAACCCGCCGATTCTAAGAGATTTCGAGTTATCCCAATCCGATTTTGTCCTGATCTTCGCGTCGTTTGATGTGTGAAAGACCCGCCCCCATCCCGACGGGAGACTTCAGCTATTGCTGCAACGTTCTGGGCCGAGACGAGAGCGGCGCGCGGCTGTGGCGGGGACTTGTCCTGGCTGGGCGGCTGCCGCCGACGCGGGAGTACTTCACTTGAGTCCCGAAACGGCGCGGTGACAGACCGTGCGGCGACCTCGAACTCCCCTAAGACCTCACCGCACGGTCCGTCAAAGCACGGTTTTGGGACCTCGGATGCCCCAATCGCCCGAGACGTCCTCGCAGAACGGCCCGAGTCCCACAACCGTGCGGTGACCCCGAATCCCCACGGACTCGCCACACGGTGTGGTCCCCACCCCGTTTGGGGGCCCCCGAACTCTGCCGCGATCGGGATGTGGCCGGGGCTGCAACGGCAGCAGCGGCCAGGCGCCGACCCCAGGGGGGCTGGCCTCTGGGCTCGGGAGCGAAGGATTGCAAAAAAAAAAAAAAATCAAAACAAAAACCAGGATTGCAAAAAAAACGAAGGATTGCAAAAAAAAAAACTTCGAAGGATTGCAAAACAAAAACAAAACAAATCCTTCGACTGGCGTGGGGGCGAGAGAGCACGACTCCGGGCCAGGGGCGTGCAGCCGGCGCCGAGGCGAGAGAGCAGCCGTCTGAGCTCGGGCTACGGTTCGGTCGGGCGTGTCCCCAAACAGGCGGAATTTGGAGGACAAATGAAAATTGTTTTAAACATACTCCAAAGTGGTCAACAAAAACTTGAAACATCGTCCCAAGACTATTGTTATAGTATTTTAGACTATTCCTCCTGTAGAGGGACAGGCCCGACTTGAGACTACGGGAAGGTGGCTGACAAGACTTGTAGGGGTCAAGAAATCCGTCCCCATAATAACCACCCTGATACGCGAAGTCATTCAATAAAAATGCACCCAGAGAGGGAATCGAACGGGGCAAGGCTTTTCATAAACGCCAATTGTCCGGTCCAGGTGGTTCTTCCTCCCCTGAACTTGAGCGACGATAAAAAACGGGTCTTACGAGAGATGACGCAGCGACCTTACGCCGCGGCTTACGCGGGCCGCCAGCGCGGCACGCCAGTGGAGACGAGGGCGCTTACGCGCGACCTTACGTGGGCAGGTTGCGAGCCGATGTCGGCGCAGACGACCCCGTCTTTTGGCGTCGCTCGCTCGGCAATAGGTCAACAGCAATAGGCAGGAGGCAACGAGGGTGAGTACCTACAGGGCAGTTTGTTAGTACATCGGATGTTTTTGTTTTTTTTTGTTTTTTAAATGTCGGATTTTTGATAATGATCCACTTACGAATAACATCATGCATGAACCCATCGTTTTTTCATACTGAATCCCGGCATTTTTAATGCATGATCCGCAGGCGGAGCATGTGTGAACAAAAACCGCACTGTAGTGGGAGTCCGCTGGCGCCGAAAGCGACTGGCAGTGGCTGCGCAGAGGGGAGGGGCCCTCGAACCCCGGAAGCCCACCGGCGCCACCATTGGCGGTGCGTGACGGCCCGCCCCGCGGGTCGTCGACGCGCGTGGCGTTGAGCACCTTCTGCATGCACTGGTCGAGGAACATGTCCTTTTGGGGGCTTCGGGCTCCGATTTTGGCGGCGAGCGAGGGGGGGATGTGGGAAGGAGAAGGCACTCTCAGAAGGGGGTGGGACTTCTCAGAGGCCCTCGCCCCTTCTGAGAGATGGTCCGTGTCTTCGGGGTAGGCTCAGACATGTTCTCAGAAGGCAAGGGGACGTCCGAGATTTCTGAGAAGGCCCGCCCCTTCTCACTTCCCCCCCTCGCTCGCCGCCGACCAATGATCACTGGGGTCGGAGCGGCCACGAAGGGGTGCAGCGCGCGAACAAACGACTCCGAAGCGACGGGCATGCAGCGAAGGGCGAGTACATAGAGCTGTTCTGGCCGATCCCATGCTCCTCCTCCTCCTCGTTCCCCCCCGCCATGCTACGACATCCGATTGTGCGAACAGAGAGGAGATCTACGCCATGATAAGGAATGGGAGGGAGGGGTAGGACGTCAGATATGACTCGAGCGCACACAGCTTGCCCCCCCTCTTCTCTTGAAACATCGCAGAGGTGGTCGGTGTACTGTCGAAATGGTTACGAAGTCAATGACACAAATGGCAACGCAGACCGTGAGCAGTTGATGAGGACACGCTGTCGGCGTCACCACGGGCTGCGTGCATTGGATGGAGGCGCAAGGTAGTCTGCCCAATAACGGCGATGTTGGACAACATGTGCTGCTGGGCGTCGCATCCACTCTAGGAGGAGGAGGAGGAGGAGGAGGAGAAGGAGGAGGAGGAGGAGGGTAGAGGAGAAGGAGCGCAGAGTAGGAGGAGGAGGACGAAACACACATCGCTGCACCCACAAGTGGGACATGCGGACGCCACCTGCTCGGAAACACGTGCGGAAGCCGGGCCCTCACGGTGATGCAATGGCCGAGCGTTGGAAAAACATTTCCTGGCCACAGCTCCCGCCCAGGCCGGCCCCGTCATGTCTAGCCAGGTTCCTGACAGCATTGGCGCTCCCCTCAACGCAACCACCCTTTGAGACACCGTTCCTAATTCTGGTCCTCGGCGCTCGTCTCTGCCTCAAGACGGGCGCCCGCAAGGCCACGCCGCTCGCGAAGAGCGCTGCCATACCCGTGGGGCAACATCGCCGCAGCACCCCAGGGCGTGCTCCAGCTCCTGGCTGCTCCTCCGCGCTCCACGGTGGGCCCTCCAGTCGTCGGGGGCGCGAGGACATGGATCAGAGATCCATGGATTTGGCGCGCGGTCGCCAGATCCAGGGATCGGGGGAGGTGCCCTCCCCAAAAACGTGGCCGCTGCCGCCTCGCTCGGCGGCGGGAATCCGCGATCTCCCATGGAAACGGGACCCGTCGCTAATCCACACCCCCTGATCCATGTGTGCGATCGCCCGAACCCGGTACGCCGGGGCTTGGTTCTGGCAGCCGTGCAGCGGTGGCGAGTGCTCGCCGAGCGCCCTCCGTGGCCCGAAGGGTCCCCCAACCAGGGCACCTCCCACTCCGGGCGCCGCGGGGACTCGCAACGGCCAGCTGTGCAGCGCGCCTGGCCTCCGAGGAGCCGCTCCCTGGCCCTGGGGGCATCAGACGTGTGTGCTCAGGGTGGACACGACTGGCCCTGGGCCTCCTCCTCCTCCTCCTCCTCCTCCTCCTCCTCCTCCTCCTCCTCCTCCTCCTCCTCCTCCTCCTCCTCCTCCCTCTCCTCCTCTCCTCCTCCTCCTCCTCCTCCTCCTCCTCCTCCTTCCTCCTCCTCCTCCTCCTCCTCCTCCTCCTCCTCCTCCTCCTCCTCCCCCTCCCCTCCTCCCTCCTCCTCCTCCTCCTCCTCCTCCTCTCCTCCTCCTCCTCCTCCTCCTCCTCCTCCTCCTCCTCCTCCTCCTCCTCCTCCGGGGATCCTCAGGCCCCCACGACGCGACAAAACCTGCGCCCTCGGAAACCAAGCTTCCCCCCCCCCCCCCCCCCAAAAGGCCTCGCTACGGCCGACCGGTTCCCGCGCCCTCGCCGCCCCAGGGGATCTAAAGACTGGGGGGGGGCCGCGGAAGACGCGCCAGGACCCTCCCTCTCCAACCGTCTCGCTCTCCCTCCTTCTCGCCTTGCCTACCTACCCTGCCCCCCTCCCTGTTTGTTGCCTCCTCCCTCCTGTTCCCCTTCCTCCTCCTCCTCCTCCTCCTCCTCCTCCTCCTCCTCCTCCGCCTCCTCCTCCTCCTCCTCCTCCTCCTCCTCCTCCTCCTCACGGCCACCACTGCTCCTTCCTCCCCGCGGGGGTTGAGAGACCGATGGCGACAGGTGCAGCATCGGCAGTCAATTGGTAGCCGCAGAGGCCACGGTGGAGGCAAGAAGGTGGAGACACCAGAAGGAGGAGCGTGCCGAACTCCTCCTCACCGTCCGCGCCACACTCCTCCTGCTCCTCATCCTTGCTTCGCCGAGTCCTCGCCCCAGAAGCATGGGCCCTGGCACAACTTCTCGAAGTGGTCCACGCATTCCTTCGAAAAGCGGGCGACGACGGAGGAGAACAGAGATGCGCAACGAGGAAGAGGAAGATCGGAAGATGGACGCCTTAGATGATGGAGCGCGACAGCAGAAGAGCAGACGACGGAAACCTTCGTACTTTGGGAGATGACGGGGCAATATGAGGCCGTCGTCGAGGGCAACTGCTCCGGAGACGCGCTGTGGCAGCAGAAGGTCAGGACCGAGACCAGTCCGCGCGTGCGCCGTGGGCAACCACAGGGGCCCGACACCAGGATGGCGGCGGTGATGAGCACACGGGGGCGCACCGAGCGGCAACGCGGCGACGGAACAACAGGGGCTCCGGGAAATCTTGGGACGCATCCGCGTCAACTCTTGCTCCTCGGACCTAGGGGCGAAAGGGCCGCAAGCTCACGGCAGAGCTCGCACGAGCTCCTCCCGCCGCCGAGCGCGATGTGGAATCGATAGGGCCCCATGTTACGCGCCCCGAATTTGGGGGAGCTGCGGGTCGCGGTCCTACGATGAGCAGGGACGGCAAAGCGTTAGGTCGGGCGTGTCCCCCATACAGGCGGATTTTGGACGAAAACTCAAACATAGAAAAATGCGCCCAAATAGCAATAATGATCAAGCAATCGTCCCCTGACGATGTTTCGACTATTCTTGACTACTCCTCCTGTAGAGTTGGTTTCCAACGTGGGTCTGCTACTATAGAGCGGCTCATGAAGCAAACCTTGAAACACATATTATGCGCATCTGTGCGTATGCGGTCTGGCAAATCGGGGCGGCATCAACGCGACGCCAATGGGCGTCGTAGACTTGAGCCTTTGGCCTGGGAGCACGAATCGCACGATTACACACATCATGAGGTTCTGCAACCGGTCACTGTGTTCTGTCTGGGGGGGGGGGCACGGACACGCAGAACACTGTTCAGCTAATCGTTAACTGGCGCCCGCCTCGAACTCATGCCCCATCCCCCGCCGCCTCCCAATATCCCTTCGTTTCGGCCCCGCTCTCCGCTTGTCCCCCCGATAACCCCCGGTCCTCATCATGCCCCTCATCCACACTGCCACCCCCCATGTGCCCATTCATGTCGTTCCTCGTCGTCATCCTCCGCCGGATTCGTTCCCCCATCGTCCACATGCGTGCCCTCCTCCCATCCTCTACGCCCTAGTGCACATCATGCCCCCTCCTTCTGCCACCCCCCGCTTCCCTCGTCCCCGTGATGCTGGCGCCGATGATGCAGCTCCTCCTGGGCCCGTTCCCCCCCCTCTCGTCCAGTCCCGTTCATCCCTGGCCCCTAGGACACCCCTCCTATCGAGCCCCTTCATTCCCACAGCCCACCATCCCCATCCCCCCGCGCCTTTGCATGCCCAGACCACTGCCCCCTCCTGGACCAGCCAGGAGACCCGCGGAAACTCCCGCCCGGTGACCACTCCAGCGAGCGGCGCGCAACAAATGCAACGTTTGGAGACACGAACTGTGTATTTCGACCGCGTACGACGCCCCCCCTGGACCAGCCGAAAGAGAAACGTGAAAGTTCCCGCCCAGTCAACGCCACCCGCGAGGCGCACACTCCAAATACACAGATGGGACCGAGATTTGTGCACACAGATCACACCACGATCTGTGTAAACAGTGGGCCCAGACACGAAAATACAAAGTTGACGGCACAAGCTGTGTACACATATCACACATTGATCAGTGTATCTCGACAAGGTGAACGCTCGCCACCTCGAGGGTGCCCCGACTTTGCCATACCAAAACCGAAGTCGACATGCCCAATTAGGGGGGGATGTAAATACACACTTCCCCGGCCCAGGGCGCCCCCGGGGGAGCTGCAAATACACGCTTCCCTGGCCCAGGGCGGCCGCGGCGAAACGCGGCACCAAAGCGGCCCCCAACGGCCCGAAAACGCCCCGAAAAGCCTCGAAGGACCCCAGAGAATGCCGCACAACAGCCCGAAGACACGAGAACGGCCACATGCCATGGACCTCTTAACAGTCAAAGCTCCACGCGTCGCCATACAAACCGCTGCTCTGACAAGGGGGGCGGACCGTGCCGCAGGCACCTATAATTTACACGTTAGCGATGCGACTGTGCTCGGCGGCCGTGCCGCCCGCGTTCGGCGTGCGCCCCGAACGCTCGCATTGTCAATCGGCTCTATGTGGTTGCGCCGCTGTGCTCGGATATCGAAACCGCGACATACCGTTGATACGGGCACGCGGCACCAGGGACTTCACTTCTCGAACATGGATGGAAGACGAGGTAGGACGACGGACGGTGGAGCAGGGAGGCAAAGAGGAACTAAGAATGATGAGGGAGGTGGGAAGGGGCACTCCCCCGCCCGATCCGCGGACGCTTTCGACACTATCCAGGGGAGGGAAGAAAGGAAGGGGAACGGAGCAAGGGAGAGAACGACGACGGGAAGCAAACTGTCCTGGGTCCGCATATCGCCATCTGCTTGCGATTCGGGTGCGCGCGTTTTCGTCGAGGCGCTTCAGGCCCGACCCATACTGAATTCACTAATTCCTCCAAACTGTGTAAACACGCTGTCCTCTGTTCCCCGCCCTATACAACTGCCTCAAACCAGAGGGACAGTGTATTCCAACCGTAGAGGGACACGCACGACTTAAGCAAAGCGGGCACGAGACACAAATATGAAGGTCAGGTCAGGTCAGGCCTGCATGCCCGGGAAGGGCGGCCGCTGAGGGCGCAGGCGGGGAACAGTTACAATTACGGCTTGCGTGCCAGCTCCAGTGGGAGCGGCCTGCGGGCCTCAAGCATCAGGATGCACAGCCGGCCATGCGCAAGCAAGAAAATTGATCACATGAAACGGAGGAGGAGGAGGAGGAGGAGGAGGAGGAGGAGGAGGAGGAGGAGGAGGAGAGGAGGAGGAGAAGGAGGAGGAGGAGGAGAGGGGGGGGGAGGAGGAGGAGACACAACTATGACTAACTATGCAGACGAGCGTAGACGGTCAGCACAGGCGGCCGCCCCCCGAAAGCCCCGACCAGCCCCCGAAAACCATCGACCGCGCTGCCTGGGGGCGCAGGCACTGCCGAGCTGCCGCTGGCCCTCCGAGGAGGGCGGGGCCCACGACCTCGGCCTGCCTCCGGCGGCCCACGCCAGGTGGATCCGCCGCACGATTTACGTCGGGCCTGTCCACCTGCAAGGGGATTTTCGACGAAAAATAAAAAATACTCCCAACAAAAACCCAAGAAGGTCAAACCATACTCAAAAAATAGTCCCCAGACTATTTTGGGAATTTATTTTTGGCTGTTGTTTGGAGGTATTTTTTAATTTTTCGTCGAAGGTCCGCCTATATGGGGGGCAGGCCCGACTTAACGCAAGATGCGATCCCCGCCACCTCGCAGTCTGGGAAGGAGACGGCCTGTGAACGTTTTCTTCTCCGGCGTCTCGACACCGAGCGGAGAAGGGGGGGGGGGAAGGCTCCGGACCTCTGCTTACGTGCGACTGCCTGCAGAGAGGTGCGTCCGATGAGGGGGAGATTCCGCCTGCTTGGAGCAGGCGCCACAGACAGCCAAGATCTACTCCGTGGGGGGGAGGGGCGCAGCCCCGCGCCGATGGGCAGAACAATGCACAATAATCAGGAGGGAACAAAAACACACAGACACAATTAATCGTCCATTCCCCAGGAACTGTGGGAAAACATGGGAAAAGGGGGGAAAGACAAAAACCCAGAAAATACTGGGAACACAAATAGGAATCCTGTTATTTGTGTGTATTTATTTGTGTGTCTCAAGGCCCCTTCAAATAAAACTACCACCTTGGCCTCTTGACCGTTTGAACATCACTGGTCGCTGGGCCACCGGGTGGGCCCGCGGGTGAATCTGGTCGCACCTCGGGCGAGCTCAGCAGCGGGCGGCGCTGGAGCGACGATCAAACGCCCAGCAGTCGCGCCCACCTAGCCGAGAGCCTGCGCAAGAATCGAGAGCTTGCGAAAATGTTCCCGCCAGGTCAGTATACAGTCGGAACTCGGCCAGAAAGACATCCCTCAAGAACAGGAGACCCTCCATCGGCAAAAACAAGCAGGACATCCAAGGGTACCTCCCCAGGATGCGCAGGAACATCCAACAAGCACGAAGAACACCAGGGCATCCTCCCCGAACCGACCTCGACCTCATATCTCAATCCGACTGCATCCTCTTCGAACCGGGCCGCTGGGCTGCGGCCCACGTGTTTGCGAGCCCTGCCATCTATCTGCAGGGCCTTGAGCCAGGACGCAGCGGTCTCCCCAGCCACTGGACGCTCATGGTGGGCTCGGAGACGGTCGGGCCGTGCGTCTTCTCAACATTTCGGCGGTGGACAAACCTCCCTTTAGTAAACCTACCTTTGTTGAAAACGGCCCAGGACCGAAAACGACGGACCTGGACCCGCAACAATGACGGCCGCGACGAGCTCTCGCGAACCGAAAACAGCCAATCCGCTAATCGACGTGGCAGGGTAGGAGGTCGATCAGCCTCCGAACATTCGGCGGCGAGCCCAGGGGAAGAAGGGAGAGGGGGCGAGCCGTCTCGGAGAGCGGCGAGGCGTCGCCTCTCGGAGGCCCTCGCGACGTCAGAGACATGTTCTGAGCCTTCTCCGAGGAGGAGGAGGAGGAGGAGGAGGAGGAGGAGGAGGAGGAGGAGGAGGAGGAGAGGAGGAGGAGGAGGGGGATGATGATGAGCAGGAGGAGGAGAAAGCTGGGGGGCGTGCGAGAAGCCCTCCAGGCTCGCGAGGCGCCCTGCCGCAGGGCCGGAGAGCTGCTGAAAGGGCCCCGCCGCCGTCTGAGAAGGCCCGCCACCTCTCATCTCCCCCCGGGCGCGCCTTCGAGACGCGAGCGGTCGAAGCAGTGCCACAAGAACGTTGACCAAGCACGTGAGCCCCTTCGCGGGGACATTCCAAGGTGCACGTCCCAAACATGAGTCGCATTCGGATGCCCCTCCCAAACGACGGTTCTTCTTAACCCCCATGGCAACTGTGATGCCTTATCTGGTGACGGGCGCCTGCCCGCACTCTTTGTTGTGCCGTTTTGCCCGCATGGGTTCACAGACGTCGAGGACTGAGGGATCGCGTTTCACGGACGCTCGCCGCTTGCCTTGAAAACACAAGAGGGGAACCCGATTCGCCACCCCACCTCTCCCCAAAGAAACAGGGCCCTCCCCCCTCCGAAACAAGGAGGCCCCCCCCCCCCTTGCCCCTCCCCCACCCCGCTCCCCCCTTGTTCAGCGGTGGGGTCCAGCTGAACCCCCCTCGGCGCCCAAAAACAACGCGGACGACGACAACGACGACGGCGACTGCGACGACCGGGAGCGACGACGACGACTGCTTTCGACGACCGACGACGACGCGGACGGGGCATGCAGGCCGGCGCGGGCCCGGCGCGCGAGACGAGGGGGCGGGCAGGTCGAGCGGGACATGGCGGGCAGGCGGTCGCGAGGGACAGGCGGGCGAGTTGGCCGGGCGGGCGAGCGGGGCGAGGAAGCAGGTCGAGCGGGATCGGCGTCGTCGTCGGTCGGTCGGTGGGTGGGTGGGGGAGTCGGTCGGTCCGTCGTCGTCGTCGTCGTCGTCAGTCGTCGTCGTCGTCGTCGTCGTCGTCGACGTCGTCATCGTCGTCGTCGTGGTCGTCGTCGTGGTCGTCGACGTGGTCGCCGTGGTCGTCGACGTCGTCGTCATCATCGTTTGCTAGCGCCGGGGTGGGTCAGATCCCCCGGTCTAAAGCGAAGTGCCATGGAAGGGTCCCCTTTGTTGAGAGAGCTTTTTCTGTGTACACTTCAAATGGTGCAATTTCCAGAAACCCCCCCGCCTTGGAAACCCACCTCGCGAACATCCCCCCTCCTTTCTGGAACCGAGACCTCCTCCGCCCCCGAAGGTCGGAAGGGGGGTGCGGGGGGTTCCGACCCCTCCCGACGTCTTCGTCTTTGTCGTCGTCGCTTGCCATCGCCGGGCATCGTCGCCGAGGCCGTCGTCATCCTCGTCGCCGTCGCTATCGCCCATCGCCGTTGTCGCCATTCGTCACAGTCGTGGGTAAGTCGTGGCCATTGTGTTTGCCTGCCTGTGAGGGTTCAACCCCCCCTAACTTTGAAGAGGAGGGGCAGAGCCCCCATGGACTTTTATGAAGGGGCCCTGGGACACACAAATAAATACACACACATAAAAAGATCCCTTCCCCCAATCCCATATATTTTCGCATGTTTTCGTGGGAATCGACGATTCAGTGTGTCTGTGTGTGCTTTTCCCCTCCTGATTTCACTCCAGAGACAAGGAGAGATGGGGGCAAGACCCCGCCCCGGCTTCTGATGGGGGGGCGACGGAGCGGGTCGGGCCCCCCCCCTCTCTGACTTCCGTCAAGCGTGCTCAGAAGATGCTCTTTCCATTTTCCTGGTTGCACCCCCTCCCCCCCTGCACCCCCACGCTCCTTCTAGGTAGCATGTTTTTTTCTCCAGGGAACATCTCCTCCTTCTCCACCCGACCAACCTCCTCCCCGCTCACGGATCTTGCGGTATACAATCACCCTCTGCCGCCGCCACACACTAGCTGTACATCTCACATGCAGGATCAGTATCGAATCGGGACACAAGTTCGAATTGCAACGTACGTTGGATCGGACTGCATCGGCGCGGAATCGTACATCGAATCGGATCGGCTGCGCACAGATGCACAAGGACGCCATGTAGATATCGGGCGGTGTCGGATCCTCGGGATATAGGAAGTCGATCGAGACGGCGGGAACCGATGCCGACTCGGATCGATCGGGTCGACATGAACCCTGAACGCTGATTTCGAGCGGACTGCAATGTGGAGCAGTAAACGGAGGGGAAACCGTTTGTATCAAGAAGGTGGCCCTGAAGGTGCCCCGAACGGCCCTTCAGCTGCCAGCCCGTGTCCCAAGGCGTGCCCTTAATCATCCCCCGTGTATCTGCCCCCGTTACCGATCGCCCAAGGATCCAGAGGCAAATGCGCCCGGAGGATCCTGCCGGCCGTTGACCCAGGTGTCCACCGCGGCCACAGAGAGCACCTCGAGCGGCCCGTGCATGCCGTACTGGCAGTTATTCACGTAGACCTGCGCCACGGCTGCGGGCAGGATGGACGCCAATGCACGCGCGCTGACGCTCCTCATCTTCCACCCGCGCTGTGCAAACCCGTGAGCTCTGACTGCAACAGAGCACGCGTCCCCCCGTGACATGTTGGGGCCCCAAAGCCGTGTGGTGACTTCGTAATCCCCAACGACCTCGCCACGCGGTCCGTCGCCGCACGGTTTTACGACCCTGGAGGCCCCAATCGCTCGAGACATACCGGGAGAACGACCCGAGTCCTGAAACCGCGCGGTGACTCCGAATCCCCACTGACTCACCAAGCGGTGTCAACTGCTTGGGGCCCCCCGAGGCATAGCGGCGGCCGACCCCAGGCTCGCTCATGCCGTCGTCGATGAGGAGGTCCAGCATGTCGTGCATCCGGTGCGGGAAGAAGACGGAGTCGGGGTCCACCTGGCGCGCGCAGCCGCCAGAGATCCACGCCGCGGCTTCATCCGCGTCCATGTCGAGCTCGAGACGTGTTCCCCAAGATCTCACGGAGCACGCCTCCAAAATGTTGGTAATTACGCGGTCCATTGCGGCGTGCACCCCACGGGGGTGCACCCCACAGGCGACGTCTTGTCATGCGGAGCACCTTTTTGGAGGGGGGGAAGGGGCGTGGGGAGAGACTGGCCAAAATGTGTCCAACAACCATGCACTGTCAATCCGGCCTACAGACTTTCATACTGGGCCCCAAGTAAGGCACGACACCCCTTTTGCTGCGCATAGATGTGCCGTACGAAAAGGGGCCGGGGTGAAAAAACATCAACAAAAAAACGACAACAGAGGAGAGACTCAAAGCGACCAATCCCGCCAGCCCTCTGGGTACAGGTGGTTTACAGCGTTTCCTCTTCCACCCCTCCCTCTTCCCCTTTGGGGAGCAGTTTATCACTGTTCCCTATTATCCCCAGGCGACTGGGAGCCAGCCCGAGTCAATGAGGGCCCCCCCCCACCATGCCTTTTAAAAAACAATACGAATCACACTGTGCCTCCAAATTCAAAGCACGCGCACCGAACCCGATGCGGCCTCCCCCCACCACCCCTGTCTAAAAACAATATAGGGTACACTTTGCGGCGGCGGCACCGGCGGCGGCGGCAGCGGCGGCGGCGGTGGCGGCGGCGGGGGCGGCGGCGGCGGCGGCGGCGGCGGTGGCGGCGGCGGCGGCGGTGGCGGCAGCGGCTGCGGCTCGGGCCACGCTCGGGTGCTACGTATGTGTTGGGAGGGCGGGTGGGGGTGAGCGAGACGGCTTGCGGGCGGGGAGGGCGTATTGACCCTTCCGCTTACCCCCTTCCCTGGACCTGGACGGGTGGCGCGGCGAGCGGTCAGAGCGTCCAAGATGGCCCAAGATGGCTCCAAGAGCGCCTCAGAGATCCCAAGATCGCTTCCAAGATGGCTCGAGATAGCGCAAGATCGCTCAAGATGGCTCCCCAGATGCTCCACGAGGCCACGAGACCGCCGCAAGACGGCTCCAAGTGGCCAAAGAGCTCCCCGGCGAGGCCCGGCGAGGCCACAATCCTTCCATCACCTAAGGAAAATAAGTGTTGTCTGCTTTCCCGCATTTTCGTTTCTGATGGCCATCCGAAGCCTCAAGATGGCCCCAAAATGGCCCAAGAAAGCCCCAAGAGAGGCCAAAAAAAAAAACAAGACGGTCCCAGGAGCGTTCCATAAAAGGGGTCCAAGAGGCGATGCTATAGGCTTTCTAGGGGGGACGCTAATTAATCCCCCCCTTCTTCAATAGGTGTCCTCTAAGGTGGCCCCAAAAGCGCCGCCAACGCCCCCAAGAGCGCCTCCAGAGGGCCCCAAGAGGCGCCCAATAGGCCTCCCATCCCAGCGGCTCCCAAAAGACCCGCAGGAAGCCTCAAGAGGATCTCCTACAAGCATTCGGTTCGTCGTTCCTCCTCCTGGCTCTTCGGCTCGCCGGCTCCTGGCTCTTCGGTTAGCCGTTATCCTTGTTCCTCCTCCTCCTCCGCCGCCTTTTCCAACTTCTCCTTTTTCTCCTCCCTCTGCTCCTTTTCCTCCTTCTCGTAATCCTCGTCCTCGCCCTACTCCATATCCTCCTCCTCGCTATCCTTTTCCTCCTCCTCTTCTTCCTCCTCCTCCGCGTCCTCCTCCTCCTCCTCCCCCTCCTCCTCCTCCTCCTCCTCCTCCTCCTACGACGACGACGAGTCCTCCTCCATCCTCCCCCTCTCGGGGTATACGACACTTTCCCCAGCAATTTGTTATTCTGCACGTTCCCCCGCTTCCATGATCACCTCAACTCCCCTGGGCATCATTTCTGAATGGGCTGGTGGGGATACTTTTTCGTCGCGGCCGCAGGCGAGCGCACCAGCAGCGTCAGAGGTCGGGCGGGCTACGCGCGAGCCTACTTGCCGAGCGCACGGGGACCGACAGCCGAACTTAAGCTGCCTGAGCTGCCTAAACTGCCGGGCTGCACGAGGTGGTGCCAAGAACCGGGACAGGGCGCGAAACCTGACCGGCGGGCGATGCAAACTGCAACCAGGACCAGTATCCGGGGGCAGTGCCGGTGCACGAATTGAACCAAGGAGCTATACGCAGCCAAAATGGGGCGGCAAGGTCACAGACAGCGAAGCTGACAAATGACCGCAGAGGGCGTGTAGGACTTGACGTGGGATCAATCAAACCACACGAGACATCCATGCACCCAACCCCTGAGGAGGGCATCTCGCTTGCAATGCGCTCCAGGAGGTAATACTAACACCGATGGCCAGGAATACATCACTGACCAGGAACCAGTACGAGCGGCGCCACCGAAGCCGCATTCTTACTCATGAGAGAAAAGATCCGGGGCAATCCCCCCTCCGAGAACGAGAGGAAGAGCCAGCCAGGAAAACGATGGAAGGGATCGACACCCAGCTGGTGGGGATACGCGAAGCATCAACAATTTACCCCGAACTCCCGAAAAGCCAAACTGATACTTCTTCCAAAATTCTGGCTGCAGATGGGAACACCCCAATACCACCTGACCTCATGCTCTCGCGCTGCACGACACAATAGGATCTTCCCAAAAATGTGCGGCTTCCCTGGGGAAGGGCAGCTTTCCTGCCCAGGTGGCGACCAATGACAATCTTCGCGCCTTCAAGGGCGTAGGGACCCACCAAGTTTACGGGTGGCCTGAACCCTTGTCCTGACAAAGGATGCATTTTTGCTTGAATAGTGCTTCGGCAGGATAAGCCACAGGAGACGACGTCGCACTCGTCGCGAAGAGCCTCATGAAGGAACATAGCTAATTGGATTTCATGACGCTGCAGTGTGGAGAGGGACTTGTGTCTGGACAGGCAGCTGCCCCTGTCTGCGCGCGGCGTTGGCAACTCTGTGCACTTCGCCCCTCCCTCCGTGCCCTGGCGTCTTCATCCAACGAAGTTCTGGGGGTCCCACAGCGCTGCGATGACAGACTGAGCGGTGACCTTGAACTCTTCGCACGGCCTTCGGGCCCTGGAGAAGGACCCAATAGACCGAGACGCCCTCGGAGAACGACCCGAAGTGCGGTCACACCGGATCCCCACTGACTCACCACGCGGTGTGGTCATCAGAAGCCTTGGTAGAGGGCAGAAAATCCACCCCCATAATGAAGACCCCGACACGCGAAGCCGTTTAGCAAACGCACCCACGGAAGGAATCGAACAGGGCAAGACTGTTTAGTAGACGGTCTCAGTAGACGCCCAACGCCGCTTAGTGAACGCCAATTGTCGGGTCCGGGTGGTTTTTCCTCCCTTGCCTTGGGGGCCCCGACACTTTTCGATCAATCGAACCAGGAGAGCCCAGAATCGAATCCACAAGCCGGAGCGGCAATCGAACAATGAACCCGATCGGCGGAAAAATCGGCAGCCGAGCCGGGAGAAGTCGGATCGGCGCACATCGGCAGGCCCGCAAGTCGGAAGCCATCGGCATCGGATCGCATCGAATCGAATCGGAGGCATCGAGACGAGCCTGGAGGGGAGGAGGAGGAGGAGGAGGAGGAGGAGGAGGAGGAGGAGGAGGAGGAGGAGGAGGAGGAGGAGGAGGAGGAGGAAGAGGAGGAGGAGGGAGGGGAGGAGGATGAGGAGGGGGAGGAGGAGGAGGAGGGGGAGGGGCCGCGGAGCCCGGAGGCCCCCGCGTCGCCTTCACCGACCACGAGTGCTTCTTGTAGCGGCCGTTGGCGATCACGGCGTCCCACACTGCGAAGAAGATGTCCTGCGGGGGGGGGGTTAGGAGGGGGGGGAATGCTGATACCGATGATGGTGGTGCTGCTGACGGAGATGGCGATGCTGATGATGAGGATCCGATGATCGCGACGATGATGATCGTGCCCAGGAGGAGGAGGAGGAGGAGGAGGAGGAGGAGGAGGATGAGGAGGAGGAGGAGGACCCGCGACTCCCTGGAAGGCGAGCGCTGCTGACCTCCAGGCCACGCGATGCGCGACGTCGCCCCTGATGGCGAACGCGGCCGCGGCGGCCCAGCGCGGGCCCGCCCGTCAGTGCCCGGCGTCCCTTGACTACCTACCAGACCACCCCAACCCAACCCGAAGACCCCAATTTCGGGTTGGGGGGGGTACGGGTTCCATATGTGTTTTTTCAGTGTTCCCCGACCCCCCCCAACTGGAAATGGAGGGCAAATTGAGGCCTTCGGGTTGGGTTGGGGTGGTTTGGTGGGTGGTGATCCCTGTCCTAGGGCGGCGGCGAGCGAAACCGCGGCAGCAGGGCGTCGCGCAGCTTCACGACGCGCGCGCGCGCCATCGGCGAAATAGCCGCAGGCGGCGCAGTAAAGCATGTCGCCCGTCCTCGCTTCACAGACCCAGGCGAAGAACGGTATGACATCAACTTTTTCGGCTGCCGGGGGCGCCTGTCCCAGGGCGGCTGGAGAGTTTGGACCCTCACGGCGACACGCCAAGGTATCAACGTTCCAGCCGCTCCGGGGCAACGCCCCCAGCGACGGAACAAAAGTTTCTGTTATATCGCTCTTCGCCCGCTGACTCCAGCAGCGGCTGGTGGAGCGGGGGGCCGCGTTCCACCACCGCGGCTGCGCCGCCATCGCCTGCTGCGCGCACCGCGCGCCGCCGCCGCCGGGTCCTCCGCCGATCGGGCGCGCGGCGGAACGCTTGCGCCTGCGATCGCGCCGGTGCCTGCCCCAGCGCCGGTGCGCACCTGCGCGCCACCGCAGCAGCATCAGCACCTCCAGGGGAGCCGCGAAGAAGGCCCACGCCCGCAGCCGCCAGCGTCAGCTGCGGTGGTCCCATGTCCGCCGCACCACTCCCGCTCATGAGGAGGCCCGCCTTGGTCGCCTCCCCCGCGAGCAGATGCGGAGGCTGTCGTTGCCGCCGCGGCGCACAGCGCCGCCTCCGCCAGCTCCTGTCCAGCGCGGACGGGCGCCGCTCGTCCCGCAGGACTCGCCGCCCGATGAGACGCCCTGCTCGTCGCCCCCGCGGTCGCCGTCGGCGGGGTCGTTAGCTCGTTGACCGTGTTCCAGATGAACCTTTTTCGGAACGCGGCGTTGCTGAACAGGGGAGGGCAGTAGTGAAGGGGCCCTGGGACACACAAATACATACACACAAATAAAAATACCCCCATATTTTCGCATATTTTCTGGGTTTGTGTCTTCCCCCCCACTTCCCATATTTTCCTGCATTTTCCTGGGAGTCGACGATTCGTTGTGTCTGTGTTTTTTCCCCTCCTGAAGTAGGCAACCGCACTCGACGTCACTCCATCCCGCGCCTGGACCAGAGCGCGGCCGCCCTGCACCGGCAGCCCAAGCTCCGCCGCCGCGCACTGCGGGCAAATCCAGACCACCCCGTCGCCCACCACGAGCGCTGTGCCGCGAACGTCGCAGACGCGCCCGCCACGTGACGGCCCCCAGCGACCTGGCAGTCGTCGGCAACCAGGCTGCAGCAGCTTTGCGCGGTGCATTTGATGGCTACCAGCCCTTCCTCGGGCGCCCGGCAGCCGCAGCCGCCCCGCGCCTGTAGCAGCGAGGTACCCCGTCCGCACACGGCGCCGACCCGCCCGGCCACCGCCCGCGCACGTGTGGCAATCTTCTCGTCCGTCCCAGACAGGATGTCCGCGGCGCGGGGGGGGCCTGGCCACCGCCAGCTTCGCCGTGGCGTCGGCGTGCCAATTGCCGCCTCGCTGCCAAGCCACGATGACCCCATCGCGGACCATCCGCGTAGAGGCCCGGACCTCTACGACGTGGACGTTGTGAGCCCCGATGTCGCCCACCAGGGCCCTGGACTCCAACCAGACCTCCGTGTAGGTCACGTCCCGCGTCGTCGTGAGCTGGCGCCCCGCGCGCCAGCCGTCGAACGCGATCTGTCGTCGGAGTAGATGGGGTCGGAGTAGATGGGGTCGGAGTAGATGGGGTCGAGGGATCGCGCCGCATCGCCGATACATCGGTGATACATCGGCGATGCATCGGCGATGCACCGGCGATGCATCGTCGACGTCGGCGATGCATCTGCGACGTTGGCGTAAAGCACAGCGGGCTGCACATCGAGCCGCATCCGCGACGCATCGGCGATGCGGCGCGATCCTCCGAGCCCAGCTACTCCGACCCCATCTGGGGGGCCCAGATACTCCTCCTCTGGAGGCACACGCCCGACTTGGAGCGAAAGGTCGGAAGGGTGGGCACAGATGGGCACAGGGGCGCGCGGGCAGGCAGGAGCTGCGTCACCCTCCATTGGGCGCCCGAGTTATCCGGGGTAACTCGGGTCCGGGGTAACTCGGGCTTGGATTCCCGAAAAAGGAACCCGAGTTACCCCTGACCCGAGTTACCCCTGATGATTCGGGGCTCTGGACGCCCGAATGATCCGGGGTAACTCGGGCCCGTGACAACTCGGGTTCGGAATCCCGAAAAACGAACCCGAGTTAGCCCTGACCCGAGTTACCCCTGATGATTCGGGGCTCTGACCTCCAGGCCTGCGCTCCAGACTGAGCGAGCGGAGGGGGCGCGACGACGCGCGGGCCCGCGGGCCGGAGCGCCGCGAGGGGCGGGCGCGTGAAGGGCAACCTGGCGAGCGCACCAGCCCGCAGAGCTCCACAAGAGCCGCCGCGAGTCAACAGAGCAGGAGAGAGGCACCGTGGAGGCCAGTCCACAAGAAGCCTTCCACAAGAAACCCAACCCTGAGACCCCAGGAAGTCCCTTGGCTTTTTTTTTATCTCTATGTATATATATATATATAATAACAATAATAATAATAATAATGATATTAATAATAATAGTAATAATACTAATAATAATAATATCAACAATAATAACAATAATAATAACAATAATAATAATAATAATAATAATAATAATAATAAACAGAGCACCCAAGACACCCAGGGCACCCTGGAGGCAAGCAGGGTGTTTCTTGGCATGGGTCTCCACTTGTTCTTGGTTTTCGGGTCACAACTCGGGTCTCCAGCGGCCGTTCGGGACGATTCGGGCGCCCCCGGAACGCCCTCGGCGAGGCGCAGCTTCTGACGAGCATCCCCAGGCTGGAAAACCGCCGAGAACGTCTTGAAACTTCGAACCTCGAACCGAAACTGTGCTGTCGGGAGCGGCCAAGAGGGGGGTGTCCAAGAGGGGGGGGGCGCAAATCATGACCGGCGGCATGTGCGCGACCCAGCGGGGGGGCCAGGGACGTAATGAAATAAGAAGAGGCGCCATGAAATCGGGGGAAATATCATGGCCCACGCCATGCTATCCACCCCCCCTAGTCATCACCCCCTCTTTTCCGCCCCCGATGCTGTCAAGGCTCTAGTCGGGGATCTTTTGACCCGGGTCAATCCAGACCCGGGTCAGCAGGAAACCAAAAACTGCAATGCAGGAAAAAAAAACTGCAACGCAGGTCTTCGCAAACCCGGGTCAGCCAACATGTGCGGCCGCCTCGCGGCCACGAGCGGCTCCCTAACCCGGGTCAGCCAGAGGGGGTCTTCGCAGGATCCTGCAGGATCTGGCGCTCTGGCTGACCCCCGTTTGCACTGACCCCCGTCTCTTAGGCCCCGATCTAGGCAATCTTTCGCCGTGCCGGGGCCACCCTTCCACGGGCCCCTGGTGAGAAGAGAGACCGCTCGGGATGCAGCACGGGCCCCGGGGAGCGCCCCGAGGCCAGGGACACGCCTCCCTCGGGACCCCCCCCCTCCTGCCTGGCGATGCCCTCCCAACATGAGCTCCGGGAGCCTGCGCTTACAAGTCGGGCCTGTCCCCCCACAGGGGGGCTTTCGCCGAAAAATGAAAAATACCCTAAGAATCATCAAAGAATAATCAAAAACTAGTCTGGGGATTATCTTTTTCTATTTGTTTGACCTTTTTCGAGTATTTGGGAGTATTTTCTATTTTCCGTCGAAAATCCCCCTGTAGGGGGACACGCCCGACATAAAATTACGCAATGATACCTGGCACTCCCGGCATGGGCATGGCCCGCTCTTGCTGGGGGGGCGGTGCCATTGAACTATGCCAGCTGCTGGGCTCCGCGGGCCCCTGCGCGGCGCGTGCCGGGTGTGCTTTTGGTCCTGAGCAGCCTCTAGGGGCGTGCGGGGGCAGAACACGAGCCGGACACCTCGGTGCTCCTCCACCTCCTCCTCCTCCTCCTCCGACCTTCCCCTCCACCGGCGTGTCGCGGCGGCGGCACCTGCGTGGTGGCGCGTCGCCCTGCTTCGTGATTGACTACCTACCAGACCACCCCAACCCAACCCGAAGACCCGAATTTCGGGTTGGGGGGGGGTAAGGGTTCCACATGCGTTTTTTCGATGTTACCCGACCCCCCCCCACTGGAAATCGAAGGTCAATTGAAGCCTTCGGGTTTGGTTGGGGTGGTTTGGTGGGTGGTGAGTGATGGCGTGAGGCCGGGAAGATGTTGGAGCGTTGCTCCGCAGACGTGCTTATATAGCGTCTCTTGCCGAACCAGAGCGGGGCCATAGAGCCGGCGGCGCGACCCGCTGGGCAGCCATTCCCGACCGTGCTCCCTCCTGCTCCTCCTGCTCCTCCCTGCTCCTCCTGCTCCTGCTCCTGCTCCACCTGCTCCTCCTCCTCCTCCTCCTCCTCCTCCTCCTCCCCTCCTCCTCCTCCTCCTCCTCCTCCTCCTCCTCCTCCTCCTCCTCCTCCTCCCCTCCTCCTCCTCCTCCTCCTCCTCCTCCTCCTCCTCCTCCTCCTCCTCCTCCTCCTCCTCCTCCTCCTCCCCCCCTCCTCCTCCTCCTCCCCTCCTCCTCCTCCTCCTCCTCCTCCCCCTCCTCCCCCTCCTCCTCCTCCTCCTCCTCCTCCTCCTCCTCCTCCTGCTCCTCCTGCTCCTCCTCCTCCTCCCCCTGCTCCTCCTACTCCATCTCCTCCTCCTCCCTCGCCCTCCTCCTCCCTCCTCTTCGCCTCCCGCGGCGTCCGTGTTCAGGGCCGTCCCGAACTCGCCGCCCTTGTCGCACGCCAGGTTGGAGTCGACCTTCAGTGTTGTCAGGCCAGGAACCAGCTCGCGCGAGATGTTGCTGTACACGGCGGCCTCCCAGCTAGCTTTTGTTGGTTCGGGTGGGCCATCGAGGCATAACGTGAACACGAACTAACAAACGAGAGCCATACTATCAAACTTCATGTGGCATGGTCGGGGTGTCTCTCAACGGCGACCTGGTCCCGAGCGGCCACCCGGACTCTCGAGGCCTCCAGCCGATCATCGGTGAAGCCATTTTGCTCACTGAGACGCTTTTTTTTTCAGGGGAGGCGGAGACTCTGGGTCGGGACCGCATGACCCACAACTCTGGTGTACATTGGGGATGGCCGTCGCGCGGCGGGAAAAGGATCCCTGTGATAGGCTGCCTTGCCGCATGGGTTCCCTTCTTCTCTCCCTGTATCTTGGCTTAGGTCGGGCATGTCCTCCTACAGGCGGATTTCGGACGAAACATAAAAAAGTCAACAAATACACAACAAAAATCTCAAGCATATAAAGCAATCGTCCCCATTATTACTTGTTGACTATCTTTGAATATTCCTCCTGTAGAGGGGCAGGCCCGACTTAATCTTGGTGCGGGTGCCCCGTTCCTCTCTTACCTGGCTGGGCCTGGGCTGTTCAACTGCGCCGCTTGCCGTGCGCGTGCGAGGAAGACGGAGGACGGAGAGGGGAGGAGGAGGAGGAGGAGGAGAAGAGAGGAGGGGGAGGAGGAGAGAGAGCAGGAGAAGGAGGAGGAGGAGGAGGAGGAGGAAGAGGATGAGGGGTAGGATGAGGAGGAGAGGAGGAGGAGGAGGAGGAGGAGGAGGAGGAGGAGAGGAGAGGAGGGAGAGGAGGAGGAGGAGGAGGAGGAGGAGGAGGAGAGGAGGAGGAGGAGGGAGGAGGAGGAGGAGGAGGAGGAGGAGGAGGAGGAGGAGGAGGACGAAGCAACAATGAGCGGATCCCGCTGCCGCCCGCGAGTCAGCAGCTGGAGGGGCCCCCTCCCAGGGCCGCCCCTGCCCACCGGTCGCAATCGGGAGCGCTCAGCTCCCTATACCACCCTTGGGGGGCACGCATCGCATCGACGATCTCTCGAGTTATGGATCGAAGCCCTGTGTCGGGCATGTCCTCCTACAGGCGATTTTTGACAGAAATATTCAAAATAATCAAAACGTACTTTTTCGTCGATTGTGAAACTACTCCCCGGGCGGGTCAGGACCACACCTCCCGCAGTCATGGGTGGCCTACCCTGGGCGACACAATGGCACGTTCTCGGAGTGCAGCTGACGACGGCCACATTTCTTGTTCACGATTCTTCACGACGAGGACAGCGCCGCCAGCAGCAGCAAGGACCAGACCCAGCTACAGTCACTGTGCTGCCATAAGGAACGCCGAACAGGGAACGATGACTTTTTCTGGTCACAGCGGGCCTGGGCCAGAGGCAGGCCCCACGCCATACATAGAACCAGCGCGAAGACTGCATGAACAGAAGTGTTTGGCGCTCCGCGCGGATTTCTTGGATCTGCGCTGGGCCCAACCCTCCCTGGCGCGCGGAGCGCGCCAGGGGCGGCGCCGGAGGCGCCGCCCGGGGGGCCCAAAGATCCGCGCGGAGCGCCAAAAGTTGATGTTTATACTGCGCTGTCCTTCTTCGATTGCCTGGCCACAGCGGGCCTGGGCCAGAAGCAGGCCGCGCGACAGAAGTCTACGGAGCGGCGCCAGAGCCCGAGCCGCTCCGGCGCCCAACGCGGCACTGCTTCCAGCGCCTTTGCGAATGCGGGCCTCGGCCGGGCCGCACTGGCATAGTGCCATCGCGAGGGCCTCACGCAGCGGTGCGCGCGGGGGCAACCGGACGGTGCCGATGCAGCTGCTCCCGCACATCTCCTGGGGTGCGACCGACCGTCCCGGTATTCCTATAGGCCTGCCACGACATGTTCTTAGGACCTCCGAAATGTCCTAGTAACGCAAACAGTGAGCATACGCCCGATATGTTAAAACAAAACAATCTCTGCCAGGCATATACACATACATTCCGTGCAGACCCACCAGGAACATTCTCCAAGGCCGCGCTAACGTCGATGTCGGTTAACGGCGATGTTGGGAATCTGGTTTTTGTGACACCGAGCTCGCGCAGAACAAATTGTAGGAAACCACGAGGCACACTTTCCTACATTTCAAATATGCGAATGTATCGAGCGAAAGCGACGCAGGGAATTGTAGGAAAGCACGCGCCACCACTTCCTACAATTGATGTGGCCACGAACCAATCCCACCTACAATGCCGAAACCTACACCGCCGTTACCTACTTGCCGTTAGCGCGTCTACGGATTCTTTGGTGGGCCTATAGGCAAGCCGGGACGCTCCGAAACCCTAAACCATAAACCCTACACCGCCGTCACTGCTTGAGTAGCCAGAAGGTGCCCTTGCAGCTGCTACCCGACCTCTCCGGGGGCGCGCTCTGGCGAGAAAGCTTCGAGGCGAATCCGGCGGTGGCGACGAGGGCCTCCCAGGAGGCTCAAGCAGGCGAGGACGATGGCAAGGTCGCGGTTCGGTGATCTTCTGACCCGGGTCAGTGCAGACCCGGGTCAGTCAGGCCTTGCAGAATCCTGCAAGATCCTGCACCCAAGCCCGGGTCAATACTAAGGATCCTGCAAGATCCTGCAGGATCCTGCGCCCAAGACCAGGTCCATGCGACCCGGTCCCTGCAGGATGCTGCAAGATCGGGCGCTCTGGCCGACCCCCGTTTGCATTGACCCCCGTTTCGAGGCTCCCGAGCGGTTTGGGCGTGGCTTAAATGGGGGGGTCACAAATGGGGGGGTCAGAAAAGGTCCCCTTTCGTGCCCCTTTCGGGCCCCTCCAGAGCCCCAGGGGGCACGTTTAGGTACCGTTTGGGTACCTTTTCGGACCACGCTCGCCACCCCCCCATGTATGACCCCCCGCCATTACGGGGCGCCCGAGCGGTGTCGCGGCCTGTGCCTCCTGCGCTCGCCCCCTCCCCCCTGGCGTGCCCGAAGCGTGTGCCGTATAGCCGAGGGGGGGGGGGTGCGCGGCGGCGGCGGCGGCGGGCCCGAGGGTGGCGGGCTGCGCGGGGGTGGGGGGCGCGCCTCCTCGCACGCGAAGAGGCTGACGCCCTCATTGACCTCGCGTCAGGTCGGGCGTGTCCCCCTATACAGGCGGAACTTGGGCGATTGTTTTCGTTTTTTCTTTTTAATATATATATATATATATATATATATATATATACATATATACATATATATATATATAAGCACAAACATGATCCGCCAAATGGAAACAACTGTTAAAGAAGTCCCCAGGGTATGCTCTTACTAGTTTGGAATGTTCCTCCTGTAGAGGGGCAGGCCCGACTTCAGGCTGGCAGCAGCCGGCTCGGGGGCGTCCAAGAGGGAGGCATAGAAGAGGTGGATTCGCAAATCATGGCCCGAGGCATGTGGGCGGCCCAGGGAGCGTGCTGAAATAAGACGAGGCGCCATGAAACCTGGGGGGCCTCATGGCCCTGGGCAAGATATCCCTCCTGGTCATCCTCCCCCTCTTGGTCGCCCCCGACTGATGCAGTACAGTTGCAGGGGAGCGCCCGAAAATCGTCCCTCCTCTGTCGGTCGGTCGCAGCTGTGGGCAAGTGGGCGACGAACAGAAACGGGCCTCACGGGAGAAGACATGGCGGCCTGAAGGCCGTGGCCTACGCGGGCCGCTGGCGTGGTACACCGCGTGGAGAAGATGGTGATTACGCGCGGCCATGAACGGAAAGCTTACGCGCGCATGTCCGCGCAATCGGCCCCGATTCCTTCCATCGCTCCTTGGAAGTTGGCAGACCCTTGCCAGGGTAAGAGCAGCACACAGGGGCGAGAGTACAGCAGACGCCCCAGAAGGCACCCCTCCAACCCGCGCAGGAAGCAGCGCCCTCCCAGCATATGGGTCCACAAGCACCCCCGACCCCTAACAATACACAACATTCCTCTCGTCCTCGATGTCCACTACGTCCTATGACATTCAGCTCGCATGCAACCAACACCTGCCCATGGCTCCGTAGGAAAACACCCCCAGGACAAGGCAACATGTAGCCCGCATTCTGCTTGAAAAACCGAAGGCGGAGCACATTTGCGTAACCCACTTAGCCGAAGCGTGCTTAGACCTGGCTGAAATGAACCTGCACGATCTCGCAAAACAGGGCAAAGGAACCCCCAGAACGTCCTCGTCCTGCTCTCCGTCCTCCTCATCCCAGTCCTGCGACGACGACTTGTTGTCCGAACTGTTGGCCCTTCGGGATCTCGACTTCTACTGGCTCCTCGTCCTGGATCAATGTTTGACTTGACGGTCCCGCGGCTGGAAGACGCCCCCCCCGAGTCCGAAACTGTCTGAAAAACAGCCGTTGTGATTTGTTCCCCGACGCCGGGAAATGACGGTACTCTTTCATCCCCCATCCTCATCCCCATTACACTCGAGGAGGCTCACGCATCACCCAATCCTTGAAGAGCAACGCGCGCTCAAACCTACAGGGAGGAGGAATGGGGAATCGCAAGGCGATGGGGCCGCTATACAGAAAGCACCAACAATTCTGTTCAATCTTGTTTGTCCGTCGCCGGTTCCTTGGTGCGCTGCCTTCTTCGCAACGCTAGAACACATCTGGAGGCCGTCTCCTTTCACCCAAGCCGCGTGACAAAAACGGCTCGTGAGGACAAGCCGGTCCCAGCTCCGCAGGATGCGAAGTGTCCGTCGACGTGTGCCTAAATGTCTCCTCACTCTCCCTCCTCCTCCTCCTCCCTCCTCCTCCTCCTCCTCCTCCTCCTCCTCCTCCGCCTCCGCCTCCGCCTCCGCCTCCGAGCAACGCGCGCTCAAACCTACAGGGAGGAGGAATGGGGAATCGCAAGGCGATGGGGCCGCTATACAGAAAGCACCAACAATTCTGTTCAATCTTGTTTGTCCGTCGCCGGTTCCTTGGTGCGCTGCCTTCTTCGCAACGCTAGAACACATCTGGAGGCCGTCTCCTTTCACCCAAGCCGCGTGACAAAAACGGCTCGTGAGGACAAGCCGGTCCCAGCTCCGCAGGATGCGAAGTGTCCGTCGACGTGTGCCTAAATGTCTCCTCACTCTCCCTCCTCCTCCTCCTCCCTCCTCCTCCTCCTCCTCCTCCTCCTCCTCCTCCGCCTCCTCCTCCTCCTCCTCCCCTCCTCCCCCTCCCCCTTCCCCCCTCTCCCCCTCCCCCTCCCCCTTCCCCTCCCCCCCCCCCCTTCCTCCCCCTCCCCCTCCCCCTCCCCCTCCCCCTCCCCTCCTCCTCCCCTCCTCCTCCTCCTCCTCCTCCTCCGCCTCCTCCTCCTCCTCCTCCTCCTCCTCCTCCTCCTCCCCTCCTCCTCCTCCTCCGCTCTCCCGCCTCCGCCTCCGCTCCGCCCTCCTCCTCCTCCTCCTCCTCCTCCTCCTCCTCCTCCTCTCTTCCCTCCTCTCTTCCTCGCCAGGAGATTCTGCAGGATGGTGTTGCAGCTGCCGCGAGGCGGCTCTCGCCGCTCAGGGGAGCCGAGCCGAGCCTCTCCGCGCTCCCCTCGCCCCACACCCCCTTTTTCTGGACGGATGCCTTTTCCTCCTCCCCTCCTCCCCCTCCTCCTCCTCCTCCTCTCCTCCTCCTCCTCCTCCTCCTCGTCCCCCCTCCCCCTCCTCCTCTCCTCCTCCTCCTCCTCCTCCTCCTCCGCCTCCTCCTCCTCCTCCTCCTCTCCCCCTCTCCTCCTCCTCCTCCTCCTCCTCCTCCTCCTCCTCCTCCTCCGCCTCCTCCTCCTCCTCCTCCTCCTCCTCCTCCTCTCCTCCTCCTCCTCTCTCCTCCTCCTCCTCCTCCTCCTCCTCCTCCTCCTCCTCCTCTCTCCTCCTCCTCCTCCTCCCCTCCTCCTCCTCCTCCTCCTCCTCCCCTCCTCCTCCTCCTCCTCCTCTCCTCCTCCTCCGCCTCCTCCTCCTCCTCCCCTCCTCCTCCTCCTCCTCCTCCTCCTCCTCCTCCTCCTCCTCCTCCTCCTCCTCCTCCTCCGCCTCCTCCTCCTCCTCCTCCTCCTCCTCCTCCTCCTCCTCCTCCTCCTCCTCCTCCTCCTCCTCCTCCTCCTCCCCCCCCCCGCCCCCCCCCCGATGCCACCCACCCATACCCTTCCTTCCCCAGGCTCCCCTTCGCTCCCCTCGACACTCCCGTTTGATCGGGGATGGGCAGACCCCCCTTTAGTAAAACGTGGTTTGGTGAAAACGACCTGAGACCCAAACCTGGCGGGCGCAAGCCTGGAAAATAACGGCCACGGCGCCCCCTCGAGATCCGAAAACGGACAATTCACTAATCGACGTGTCACTGTTGGGGGTTCTGTCCACCCCCGATTTGACAGCGACGCTGGCGCTGATCAGTTTCCAGCGCTGTTGGCCTCTGCATGCGCTAGTCTCTGATGTTCCTGGGCCCCGACTGCATAGTCCGAGGAGCGCAACTAGCTTGCAGGGATACTGTGCCTTAGAGGTTCATCCTCCCCCAGCAGAGTCCAGAAAAACGGATGTTTGTTCACTTCCACTGCACCCTTTGGGGTCTGTATGCGTGTGAGACCGTCCCCTTTTGTCACCCCTCACCCAGGTCCCAAATCGCACGTTTGAGCAGAACTGGACATCGGGGGCAGTGTGCACCGGCGCCCTATAGCCCATGCACATGGCTACTGTCTCAGGGCCATGTGAATGGGCGGCTTGTGCGAATTGCCAATCGCAGGGCCCCCCGCCCCAAACGACCCCCTGCCGAAGTCCTCGGGAACCGCGCCAACTTGCATTGGCGCCCTATGGAAATGAGTTCTGGAACGGGCCAGCCCCAGATACGTTCCCGGGGCCATGTTTCGGGACCGTCCGTAGAAACAGCCAATGCAAATTATGTCATGTTCCTGGTTCGATGGGACCCTCCCTGGTTGTACGGGTATTCCCCGACTCGATGGCAAGAAGCTGGCTGGATTCTCTCCCGACTGGACGGTTTATTCCCAAGGTGGCGCCTCTGACGAGCTTCTTGAGACCCTCGGAAAAGCTTCGTGACAGCCTCTGCAGAGCTTCCTCAAACTGTGAAAGAGCCCCTGAACAGTTCCTTGGGGGCCTATGATAAACCTCTTAAGAACCTCTGAACACCTCCTTGCACGCTTTTGCGAGGCTCCATGAGAGCCTCTGGGATGCTACTTCAAAGCACTTTTTTTTTTTTTTTTTTTTTTTTTTTTTTTTTTTTTTTAAAAAAAAAAATAATAATAATAAAAAAAAAAAAAAAAAACGTCTTCTGAATCTCTGCAACAAATCTGAAAATCTCGGAGGATCTTGAAGAGTCCGGAGAAACCTTGAAAAGTCTTGAAGAATCCGAACGAAACCTGAGGAGCCGTGAAGAATCTGGATGGTTCCAGAGGCATCTTTGGAAACTATATTGAAAATCCCGGGCGTATCTTCAGGAATCTTGAGCAACCCTCACGGAGCCTGACGAAGCTAGAAGATTCCGGTGGAATCCGCAAGAATCACCAACCCTTCCCATAGAATCCTGGCGGAACCCGGAAGAATCTGGACGAGCCCAACGATTCCTGAAGACTCTTTTACCCTGTACCCCCTGCCCCCCACCCCCCACCCTCCACTCCCCACCCCCACCCCCAGCCGCTACTTCCTACCCCCTGCCCCCTACTCCATACCCCCAATCCGGGACCCCCTATTCCGACCTCCCACTTCCACCCCCCATCCCTCTACCCCTCTACACCCCCCGCGAGCGCGCACACACAAACACACACACACACACACACTCACACGCACGCACACACACAAACACACACACTCACACGAACACGCACACGCACACACACACACACACACACACACACACACACACGCACGCACGCACGCACGCACGCACGCACGCACGCACGCACGCACGCACGCACGCACGCACGCACGCTTGCTTGCTTGCACGCTTGCGCGCACGCGCGCACGCACGCACGCACGCACGCAGACATACAGACAGACACACAGACACACAGACACACATACACATAGACACACAGACACACAGACACACAGACACACAGACACACCGACACACCGACACACAGACACACAGACACACAGACACACAGACAAACAGACAAACAGACACACACACACTCAC